GTTGATCTTTGGGACTCAGAGAATGGGTTTCTTTTTTTTTTTTTTTTGGTCTGGTCGTGGGGCCTGAACTCTGGGCCTGGGCGCTGTCCCTCAGCTCTTCAGCTCAAGGCTAGTGCTCTACCACTTGAGACACAGTGCCACTTCCAGCTTTTTTTTTTTTCTGCTTAGGTGGTGCTGAGGAATCGAACCCAGGGCCTCATGCATGCAAGGCAAGCACTCTACCATTGAGCCACCTTCCCAGCCCAGAGAATGGGTTTCTATGACAAGAATGATTATATTTTAGTAAAACAGAGTGATTTAGAGGGCCTTATGCAATCTGCCATCTTGAAGGGTTTTATCAGGAAGAACAGTTAGCAAAACTGGCATGTTAGTCTATGCCTACACTTGGTCTCATGCCCATGTGGTCTTGGGCACAAAAATCTTGGACTTTGTTTCCTCTTATATAAACTAGGAAATACTGGCTTTTAATGATAGGGTGGTTTTGAAATGTGAAGGATTTAATGAGATTTTCTCTATGTCAATTAATTAGAACTGGCCTGGTATTCCAGGGCCTGGGCTCTGTTCCTGAGCCTCTTTGTGCTAAAGGCTAGCACTCTACCAACTTAAGCCACAGTGCCACTTCTGATTTTTGAGTGGATAATTGGAGATAAGAGTCTCAAGGGGACTTTTCTATCTGAGCTGGCTTCAAACCAGCCTCCTCAGATCTCAGCCTCCTGAGTAGCTAGGATTATAGGATTGAGCCATCGGTGCCCTGCTAAATACTTAATGGTCGTTGGTGATGTTAAGATTGAGAAAATCAGGGCTGGGAATGTGGCTTAGTGGTAGGTAGAGTTCTTGCCTAGCATGCATAAAACCCAGTACCACATAAACAGAAAAAGCCAAAAGTGGTGCTATGTGACTCACATGGTAGAGCTCTAGCCTTGAGCATAGTGAGGCTCAGAGACAGAGCCCAGGCCCTGAATTCAAGGCCCAAGACTGTCAAAAAGAAAAAAAAGAAAGTCAAATTGACTGTTAAAAAGAACACTAGTATGAAATCACTTAATTTTTTTCCCCTGGGGCTGGGAATGTGACTTAGTGGTAGAGTGCTTGCCTAGCATGCACGAAGCCCTGGTTGGGTTCGATTCCTCAGTAACACATACACAGAAAAAGCCACAAGTGGTGCTGTGGCTCAAGTGGTAAAGTGCTAGCCTTGAGCAAAAGAAGCTCAGGCACAGTGCCCTGGTTCTGAGTTCAAGGTCCCCCCCTCCAAAAAAAATCTTTTTGTCTTTCCTAGATAGTATAGGAAACCAGAGGAAGCCTCTAGTTTATGTTCTAATCAATAATGTATTGACTTTGTTCTTTGTTCCAGATAGAAAGCTGTAAAAAGTTATTATACCAGGAAAAAGATTATATTAAAAACTTCAAACAAAACGTTTGGGAATTAGTCAGAATTGGATTTGAAACTTAAATTCTTCCTGCTTACTAGTTATATTATCTAGGAGACAACAAATGGTTGGATTTTGTTTTTTGATCCATTCTGCTGCTTTTTTCCTTTGGTTGGGGAGTTGAGTCCATTGATGTTTAATATTACTACAGAGAAATGTCATGTTGCTTGACATTTTGTTGTTTTCCTGTAGTGTGTTTCTTTCCTCTTCATGTGTTTACTAAACTAGTTTCTTAGTGATTTTTATTCAATGCTGTGTTTCCTTGACTTTGTTTGTTCTCTTCAGATTGTATGCTTCCCTTTTTTTTCCTTTGTTTAGTGTTCATGGATTCCTTTAGTTTGTGTTTGTCATGAAAGCTTTTGAGCTATGTTATCTAACATGTTACTGAACCACACTAAACCTGAATCTCATCATATACTGATTAATTTTCAGGGTTTCCAGGAAGATATTTGTAAAGTGTTTCGTAGGTACTGTGTCAACTACAGCTGTTATTGTTAGTTCTTTGGGACATTCACCGCGTGACAGAAATCAACAGCAGGCTGTGGTGCCTGGGAAAACTTCACGGATCCAGCAGCAACTTGAAGTGGTGCTCCTTTGAAGAAATCCATCTCGGATGGATATAATACAACCTGCTAAGTGTCCTAGCACTTAGCAGGTTGTATTATCACTGTCCGAGTCTATGGCTCTCATCAAGCAGACTAAATTCTTTAAGGGCAGGACAGTGCCTTATTCATCTTTGTATTCGCAATGCCTAATCTGGTACACATTGTAGACCTCATTAAATGTTTGTTGAATGAAAAAATGAATTATCAACAGACATTCATTGGGTGCCTGCTCTGTGACCTCTATGGGCCCAGCTTGTCCGTACCAGGTGGCCTACAACAGTCAAGTTCTCCTCAAAATGGTTACTTCTGAAGTTTACTCCTGTCTTCTAATTCTTGTACAGATGACTTTGTGTGTACTGCCATTATACCTAATTCCTTCAACTAACCATCCAACTATCATCCAACTACCATCTGCAGTTGATTGATAATACCTGCTTTGATTGTGTTTTCCAAAAAATTCTGAAGCCAGGCCTTGTGACTGTGAACAAAAGGATTATAGCCAGGTGCCGGTGACTCACTTCTGTAATCCTGGCTACGTAGGAGGTTGAGATCTAAGGATCACACTTCAAAGCCAGCCTGAGCAGGAAAGTCCATGAGACTCTTATCTCCAATTAACCACCAGAAAACCAAAAGTGGCACTGTGGCTCAATAGTAGAGCACTAGCCTCACGCTGAAGAGCTCAGGGACAGTGCCCAGACCCAGAGTTCAAGCCCCACGACCAATCAGAAAAAAGGGATTACAACTGATAAAGTGATGTTACTGAGCATGGGATAGGAGGGAGTGGCCACCCCAGTCTCCCGTATATGTTATATTGCTGATGTTTTCTGTAAAATATTGCATTTTGCTTAGGCCTACATTTTACTCGCGGCTACTTGCAGATATTTCATAGCTGCTTCTGCTGCTGCTGCTACTGTTATTGCTGCCAATTGCTCCCTAGGTTGGACCAGAGCCATCATTGTCTGAGCCCAGGCCTCATCCCTACATTCTGTGGTTTGCTCCTGGGGTTGGTATTCACAATGTAACATTTTTCAACATTGCTTTACTTATTCCCTCATCTGCACTGTTAGGTAGGCTTATACTTTTTCCTGTTTACTGCTTACCAGGCTTATAATTCCTTTTTTAAAATTGAATGTGCTTAATCATTATTGTTCCATGAGAAGCCTGTTAGTTGATATGACTATCAGAATGCATGTTAAATCCCCTCATTCAGGGCCCTACAGTGAGTCATATAATGAGCCTTTTAATAAGAGAGAAAATTGAGAATGTTTGCAGACCATAAAGCAGGAGAAAATGAGAAGGAAGTCATTGTAGATGTGGAAATGAGATGGTATTAGATAGAATAAAATTTGGGGTGATGCATGTGGGAGTTGGAGGATGAAACCTATGTCTTGGTAGGACATAGGCTCAGGATTAGCCTTAAATGAGCATAGAAAAGGGGATGTGAGTAAGGAATATAACTTAGCACATGTGGTGAAGATATGTAAGTGCATCTGGTCACCAGTAGCTCATGCCTGTAATCCTAGCTACGCAGGAGACTGAGATCTGAGGATTGCAATTGGAAGCTAGCCCATGCAGGAAAGCCTGTGAGACTCTTATCTCCAATAAACTATTCAGAAAAAGCCAGAAGTGGTACTGTAGCTCAAGTGGTAGAGTGCTAGCCTTGAGCACAAAGAGGCTCAGAGACAGCACTCAGGCCTAGAGTTCAAGTCCCATAATTCAAACTCTAAAAAAACAAAAACAAAAAAATTGTAATTTCATGCATGGTTAATGGAAAAGAAAATGAACAGGCATAGAATTATGGAGATAGAGCTGCTGGAACTGAGAATCTATAGGATGGATATGAAGTCATTAAGGAGTATCCAGGCCTAACAGCTCCAGAGGGACAATTAAGAGGAGAGCTTATGGTATGTAATTATCAAGCTAGAAACAAATTTGAAAGTAGATTAAGAACTCAGGAAAAAGCTGGGCAGTAGTAGCTCATGCCAGTAATCCTAGCTATTCAGAAGACAGATCTGAGGATCTTGGGTGGCCAACAAAGTACTAGTATCTAACTCAGGCTTTAGGATGAAGTAGACAAAATATCTAATATGAATTTATGAGTAGATGTATAACAAAATCATTATTTAAATGCCAGTCTAGGGTCAGGATACAGACAACTTAGTGGCTCATAATTGTAGAATTTTTCTTGACTATTGGTAAAAAGAGCTAGAAATGAAAGAGATAATTCTCAGGACATGGGAGAGAAAGCATAGAAGAGGGAGACCTCTAATGTCACAAACCCTTTTTTTTATTGGTTTTTGTTTTTGTTTTGTTTTTTGAATGTGTGTCTTTAACTCAGGGCTTGGGCACTGTTTCTGGCACTCTACTACTTGAGCCACAACTCCACTTCTGGCGTGTGTGTGTGTGTGTGTGTGTGTGTGTGTCTGGTTAACTGGAGATCAGAGTTTCATGGCGTGTGTGTGTGTGTGTGTGTGTGTGTGTGTGTGTGTGTGTGTGTGTGTCTGGTTAACTGGAGATCAGAGTTTCATGGACTTTCCTGCCTGGACTGGCGTGGAAAAGTGATCCTTAGATTACTTTTTGAGACAAGATCTTGCTATGTAGCCCAGGCTGGTCTTGAACTCAGTCCTTGTGCCTTTTTACCTCCTAAGTACTAGGGTTATGATTATTCTCTTTTTTGTTGTTCGTTTTTTTTTTGGGGGGGGGGAGTCCGGTCATGGGGTCTGAACTCTGGGCCTGGCTTTTTTCTTTTTGCTTGTGTGGTGCTGAGGAATCTAACCCAGGGCCTCAGGCATGCAAGGCAAGCACTCTACCACTGAGCCACCTTCCCAGCCCATGATTATTCTCTTGAGCACAGTTTATTAGGACAGAATCTGAGGCTAATGTTACGTTCTTCAAATTAGTCATTTAACCAAAGTAAGAGAATCACTGTTAAAGTGATCAGGTCTTTAAATAACCCATCCCCTTTCTACAGGGGCTGCTTTATTCTCACTTCATAGGAATTAGGAGACTTCATGAGAAAATTATAAAGAAATGAAGCAGGAAGTATGACTACAGTTGTTTGATCTCAGTTTCACAAAACATCATTCAACAATGCAATCAGTCTCTGGAGATGCACCCCAGACCACAGGTAGTTGTTTTTAATTGCATACGTTACCCTAATGTTTTTCTGGTTATGTGTTAATGAACTATTCTTATAGAGCTTCCTGTTGTACAATGACAAAATCTCTAAAATATGGTAGTATACTTGCTCTTTTGGGCCTCCCAACAGTCAAAAGGTCCTTGGGGGGGGGTGGGGGAAGGGGAGGGGGGAGGGGCTGGAAATGTGGCTTACTGGTAGAGTGCTTGCCTAGTATGCATGAAGCTCTGGGTTCAATTCCTCAGTACCACACGAACAGAAAAAGCCGGAAGTGGTATTGTGGCTCAAGTGGTAGAGTGCTAGCCTTGAGCAAAGAAAGAAGCTCACTTAGTGCCCAGGCCCTGAGTTCAAGCCCCAGGACTGATTGGAAAAAAAAAAAAGGTCCTGGGTCAGCAGTGGTGGAACACAGACCACCCTATAAGCATTTGGTTTACAGTGACATTAAGACCTCACCTTCCTTAAGACCTGTGACTAAGATATTCCACTGGTGAAAGCTATAACTTCTTCCTGAGGCATATATTTGGCACCAAGGGAGTTCAAGGCCCAGTCAGTACGAGCACACAGGTGCACACACATAAACAAATGGAGCAAATGAGCCCAAGTAGAGTAGCAGTAGTGTGCAGAATGGCTTCAGGCATCCCCTGATACCATATCTTACATAAAAGAAATAATACAACTGATGCAAGACCAATCCTTATACTTATTTCTTCTCAGTTCCTAAAGCATGATGGGATAAATAAATATCCAAACCACAAGGAAGAACTGTTTGGGAGAGAAATTGTAAAAGATCCTTTCATAGAAGAGATTTAGAATAAGGGAAACTCTTATTACATGAGGTTCATATCAAAGCTATGAGAGGAGCCAGGGTGCTGGTAGCTCATGCCTGTAATCCTAGCTACTCAGAGGCTGATTTCTGGGTATTGAGGTTAGAAGCCAGCCTGGGCAGGAAAGTCCATGAGAGTCTTACCTCTAGTTAAGTGTCCCCCCCCCCCAAAAAAAAAGCCGAAAGTGGAGCTGTGGCTCAAGTGGTAGAATGCTAGACTGGAACAATAAAGCTCAGGACAATGTCCAGGCCCTGGCTTTGAGCTCCAGTTCTAGCACAAAAAAAAAAAAAAAACTATGAAAAAGTAGCGTTACCTATGACCCTATGTAAGTCAAAGTCATTGGCAGTATCAGCTTATGTCTGGTTAGACAATTTAACTTGAAGGTTCATGTTCTCAGAGTGAGGGAGTCCCAATACCTACAGGAGTCAGAGGTGAATCCCCAGTAGACCACTAGCCTCTTAACTGAAGATAGTAACTGAAGGGAACATGGGCAAGGCTAGATTGGACTGGGTATATTGTTATTACTGTTACTAACAGACTTTTTTCTAGCCAATGGCTGGCTCACACTTGTACTCCTTGCTGCTCAGGAGGCTAAGATCTGAGGATTATGGTTTGAAGCTAGCCTTGGCAACAAAGTGGATGAAACCCTTATCTCTAATTAAGCACCAAAATTTGGAAGTGCAGCTGTGGCTCAAGTGTTAGAGCACTAGCCTTGAGCAATACAGCTTAAGCACGGAGCAAGGGCCTGAGTTCAAGCCCCAGTATTGGCACGCCTGTGCATGTGTGCACACACATACAAAGAGTGTTTTTTAATTACCTTTTAAAAATTATTCTTAATAAACTTGTACAAATTGTTGTACAACATAAGCCTCTTCTCCAGTGTCCTATGCACATTTTGATGAATTTTCTAGTGAGTAGGATCTCAGACTTCCGAACTCTAGAACTTGAATGAATCAAGTATGCTGCTCTAACTGCTGTTTAGGATCATACATTATAGCGACCACAGGAAGTCACTATAGGAAGTGGAAATTTTTTCAAAAACCTTTTTTTTTTTCAAATTCTTTAATTAAGTGTTTACATAATTTCCCATATTTCACAGTATTGTGGGATAGTGATGCTTAGTTAAAGTATGAACACATTCTAACTTTTTTTTGTTTGTTTTTTTTTGTTTTGTTTTGTTTCTGTTTGGGAGGGGGGGTCCAGTCATGGGGCCTGAACTCTGGGCCTGGGTGCTGTCCCTCAGCTCTTCAGCTCAAGGCTAGCGCTCTACCACTTGAGCCACAGCGCCACTTCCA